TAGCCCTGTTCAGGTTGTAAGTGATAAAGATGCATCCACTCATCTGTTCATGCCTTTTGACACTAAGATGAAGCTAAAATGATAACGCGAGTTTTTTCTTTAACAGGATTTTGATAGTGATATCCTGGACGAATTCCAAGGTGACGGTACGGGAATTGTTTCCGGAAAGTCTCCAGCGGAGTATCGTGGGGAACCAATTGTAAGAACAAATTTTATTTGGGCCGCTCTGGAAAATATCATATTGATATAATTAATACCCTTCTACTTATTCAAAGGTCTGTTAATTTGGAACAGGCTAACAAAACTCATAAGAAATTCCATGAAAGGCTTAATTCTTACATTTATTTCCAGACCGATGCCATTCCTGCACCAGATGTTGAGCTGAATATCCTTCACCACCGCCTGAAGGATAGCGCGAGCCTGGCTGAAAAACGAAAAATTGCTCTTGAAATCGAAGATTTGATCGAGGTAGGGTATGACTATTTTTCTTTTAACATAATTGTCTCAAACGTTTCTTATTACCTGGCTGGCCTTATGAAATCCAAAATTGTTTCAGATTTTTTTTCAGAGAAGACTGAACTGTTTGCACGGGTGCACGGGTATCAACCTGTTCTATTTTCTTTAAATCTTTAAACGACCCGTGCCATCAGCCCCATCGTCCACTTAACTCTGTTGTAAAGAAAAATTAGTCCTATGTAGAGGCCTATTATCGGGTCGCACTGAAAGATTAGAATTGACAGAGAAGGTTTAATGTCAAAGTGTAAAACTTTTTAGTTTTGTGGGCAGAACAGCGGTGCTACTCCCAAACGCAAAAATTCTCGTGTTTCTCATCCAAATAGATCTGGCTCCGCACATTAAGAACGGTTCAACTTATGACCATATCACGTCACTTTATCTCTTGATCCAGCTCTCCCACTGCAATTAGAATGGAACGTAGACTAGCAACAGTGGACAGTTTCAACGAAATTAAATGATCTTATTCGGGTTTGATTTGCTAAATTTAAAATTGAAATCGACAACCATCCGAGAAAAATTTTTTTGATTGTGAAAGAGCCTTCATTAAACCATGAACTTTAAATTGTCCGTTTTGTTTGTTTTTTTTAAACAAAAAAAAACAGCGCAATGAAGGTGTCAGCAGAACAATGGAGTCAATTGTGCAGCGATGTACCACCTCTGAGGAGCAGAAGACTCGGGTCCTGAAGACTCGTTCGAGTACGGAAGATTTTGAATGCTATAAGCAGGCTGTCAAAACTTTCTCAAAGACCTGTTACAGCCTGGGACAGGTAATGACAACCCAACACCCCCACCCCCACCCCCCAAACTCCTCTTCTCCCCTTCTCCTGGGCAGAGGTGTTCAAATACTCTCAGAAAGTTTCCTAAACTCTATTTGAAGGCACATGACTGTCACAATGACAGCGAGTGCTAAATGACACTTATGAAACTTACCAGCTTAAAAAAAAGCAAATAGACTGGAACTTACAACTTAATACTTCTTCTCTTGAGGATTTCCCAAAAGTATTGTCATAATTCTTAAACAAGAACAAGAGTAAATTGTGATATAAGTTCGTCATTGCCCGACATTTTTGTAATTGATAATCTAAGAAATACCTTTAATTTTTTTACGAAAAACAGAAACAGTTAATTTGAGATGCTAGAAACCCAACTGCTCCTCAAATTTATCCCGGGAAGAAGCATCCCTTGTGAGGAATTTACGGCTTTGGTTTGCTTACTGATCGACAAAGTACCATTCAAACACTGCCTCCACCTAAGAAAACACTACTAGTTGCAAATGAGAAAAAAAAAGGAATAGGAAAGAGAATCCGAGAGCTCATGCCCGCAAAAGGCCTTCTTAGCCTCCCCTTATACTCTTGATTCTGTTTTTGAATTTCTCAGATTGACCACGCCCTGCGTCACGTGTAGCTCTCTCTAACTCGCGCGAGGAACACATTCCAGCGGAAATGTGAGTCTGGTCATATGCACCTGCTTTCAATTTCTTGTTAATAGTTATAACGCTGTTTTTATTTTCAATTTATCTTTAGTTTCCAACAAAGTAATAGCATTTCCAGGGTAGAAACCTGTAAAATCATGGGAGGAAAAAAAAAAAAAAATCTTCCCACCGGGGACTGAGTTGGGGGACGTTAGGGGACGTTAGGGGCAGGGGATTTCTCGTTATCATAGCCACAAACGGTAGTGGAGAGGTAACTCGGGGTCCCTTGCCTCCCCCCTTTCCTCAACAACAGTCGTAATATATTTCATTACTTTAATGGCACGTTGCAATAAATCTCTTTTTGTTAGCCTCATCCTCATTCATTGCGTGACAGTTGCTGCTGCAACAGCACCAACCAAAACAAAAACAAAACTGAGAAAGAACAGTAAAACGTTTCTGGAGTTTGAGCGCCCCACCTATGGGATCAAACTTGGGGAAAAATAAAATCAAAACAAATTGTAACGAAACGAAACGAGACGAAAGGAAGCCTTACTTGGAAAACAAAATGGAAATGCAACGTCTCCGTCTTGGAATTTAACAGCAACAATCAAATCAGTGCAAAGAGAGCCTTGGGTTCCTTCTTATTGCTTTCTTGCTTTTTTTTAATCTTAAAATACACATCATTCTCGTGACTTACTCTTAACATTAGCCGTGATTTTATCTCAACAGAATTGTATCTGCAATCAAGCGAGTGTGTGCTGGAATCAATTACTATAGGAACACTCTGTCTACGATTTTTTAAGTGTTTGCATAGCCTGAGGCTTTTAGTTTTAATTATTGTAACATGTAATAAAGAAAACCTTCGTTTGAATGTGAAGACATTTAGGTGGCCGAAGCTAGTAACTCTTTTATCACAATGTAGTACAAATGTAAGAAATTAAAATAAAATTCATTCCTACAATTTACAAGTAAATTTCAAAGTTTTTTTTTTGTTCTTTCTTTTATAGAAAATATATCGATAAGGACCTTCTCTCCTCTTCTAGTGATAGTTTTTTGCTTCTTTTCAGTTTTGTTTTAGATGAACTTAACCAAATTAAATCTACAGTGCATTCACTTCAGAGAACTGGCTAAGGTGCTTTCGCCCTCTCAACAAACTTAGCAATTCACAAAAACTCTCGGCGACTTTTTTTTAAAGTATGGTGGCCTGTAAGTGCTTTTCGAAATGCGAAAAAAAAGTGTGGATAACGGTGTAAAAGTTGTAACTGCGGATTCAGAGTTCATAATAATAACTTTGGATCCATAGTTTTAAAAAAATTTTGTTGTAGCGTTGGATCCGTCGTTGTAACCTTTCCACCAGTATCCACAAATTATTTTCATTCAGACAAAAGTATAGAGCCGAAGCCTTTCGTGTGAAAATGACTCATCTAATCTCAAGTAGATAAAACCTAATTTCGTTACAAAACCTCATTCCGAAAAATTAAGGTTGTTGAAAGTTCTTATCCATTCTGTGCTGAGTCAGTTCTCATCTGTTTGGATTTTAAAAGATGTGCTTGGAATAGAAGGTATCAGATAGTGGACCAGGAGGTGGCTTCCCTTAAGCACAACCATTGCAGCCGAAAGACCTAGATGGAAAGAGCTCGTGTCCACATTCACGGTGCCCGACCCATAGCCCTGAGGATGGCGACCAAGCTGAGTCAGGCATGGAATAGTTTCATTTAAGAGTAAGACCCTCAGACCAAACCGACTTCCTTGAGTATCAGATACAATGACAACTTAACGGCCTGCTCCCAGTTGGCTTGTTAGCTCAATTGGTTGAGCGTTGCACTAGTATCGCAGAGGTCAGTGGTTCGAGTCCCGTACAGGCCTGATTTTTTTCAGGTCTGCTTTTCGCTATTGCTTAAATAGCGCTATCTACTGCGAGGATCGTGCATCATACGTTTCCTTGAGTATGTTCAACATACGCTGCATCTTTCTGTTTCTTCTTAGCGGATGCAAACTTTGAGTTGAGGTCGCAACCGTTGAATTGTTTCTCGAACGTACTTTAAATCTTCCGTAGAAGCTGTTTGGCGTAAGTCTATGAAGTACAGTTCTGACAATTTGACGAGGTGAGGAACGATAGATTTTACTGCTTGATCCAGTGGATTGTGTGACAACACCAGTACTTTTAACGAAGGGATAAATTCGAAGCTCTCGAGCAGACTTTTCAAGTCGTATTCACCCATATTTAACATGGAAAGTGATAACCAAGTCAAGTCCGGGAAGAATTTCAAGCTGCTGGTGAAAGAAGCAAGATGACCTTGAACATTAAAAGCACTAAGTTCAAGCACGCTCAATGACATCGCTTTGTTTAATCCACTAAACACTGCCTATACTTCAACAGCGTTCAAGGCGCACCAATCTCCTCCAGTCACAGAAAGGCCTTCTAAGAACGACATTTCACGAAGTGATCGACCGAGCACTGCTGCTACTGGAGTCAAGGTAATTCCACTCAAAAGTATTTCTCGAGAGAAATCCTGCGATGCTAGACAACTCACTGCGTTTTCTTCATCCGTACCATCAGGACAGGCTATTTCTTTACACTGTATCCGCAAAGCGTTAAAACATTTCATAAATCTGAAGTTTTCCAAAAAACCAATCACAATCTGCAGATCACCTGAGTTGAAGTAAAGGAGAAGACTCGCAGAGTCCAAATCGGGAAAGAAACGAAAACTTTTAGCGAGAGGAGCGAGACAACCTCTCAAGAAGAAACCACTAAAAGTGAGATTGCTCAAAGGCAGGGTTTCCTGAAAACCGCTGAACAAAGCCTCTATTTGCTCACTGTCCAAAATGCACCCATCCCTCCCAGTCAACTTCAGGGTTTCCAAGGACGACATTTCACAAAGTGACTGACCGAGGAACGCCGCTGCTAATGGCGTCAGGGTAATTCCGCTCAGGGATACTTCAACTTTTCGCGAAAACTTCTTTGTCAAATCAGCAACTGGGTATATTTTAACAGCAATATCAGAACACGCAACAGCTTCACACTGTATACTCAAAGAGGTGAAGGATTTCATAAATCGTAACCTTTCCAGAAAACCACAAACATTCTGTGGATCATCTAAGCAGAAGGAAATATAAAGATGCTCAATTTGAGAATCGACAAAGTAGTTAAGACCTCTGGTAAGAAGAGTAAGACAACCTCTAAACCTGAAACCACTGAAAGTCAGACTGTACAAATGCAGAGTTTCCTGAAAACCTCCGAACAACGTCTCAATGTCCTCAGTGTTCATGATGCACCAGTTCCCTCCAGTCAACGTGAGGAATTCTAAGGACGACATTTCACAAAGTGACCGACCAAGCGCCGCTGCTGCTTCAGAAGTCAAGGTAATTCCCTTCAAAGATATTGCTCGACAAACTAGCGGTAAAAAATCCTTTATGGTTACTTCACTCCTACGGTCAAGACTAGCCACTTCTTCACACTTTACACACAAAGAGGTAAACCTTCCCATAAATCGTAAGCTCTTAAAAAAACCACAAACATTCTGTTCGTCGTCTAAGGTAAAGGCAACATCAAGAAACTCAATGTGAAAATCGGGAAAGAAGCTAAAACGTTCAGAGAGAGGAGCAAGGAAACCTCTTGCGCGGAAACCGCTGAAAGAAAGATGCTGTAAAGGTGAGGTTTCTTGGAAACCACCGAAAAGTGCCTCTATTTCTTTAGCGTTAATGATGCACCCGTGCCCTCCAGTAAACTTAAGGAATCGTAAGGACGACATTCGACCAAGTGACTGACCAAGCGCCGCCGCCGCTGCTGGAGTCAGAGTAATTCCACTCAAAGAGATATTTGGAAACCCACCCCACGACGTAGTTAAACGACCCACTGCGTTTGCTTCATCCGCACCATCCAGACCGGCCACTGCTTCACACTGTACACTTAAAGGGTTGGGATTTTTCACCAAACCTAAGCACTCCAGAAAGCCACAAACATTCTGTACATCATCTGATTTGAAGGAAACGTTGAGAGTGACATGGCGCAAATCGGTGAAGAAACTTAAACTCTTAGCGAGTGGAGAAGGAAAACCTCTCACACGGAAACCACTAAGTTTAAAATGTTGTAGAGGCGAAGTTTCCTTTACACCAACCAACAGTGCCTCTATATCCTCAGCGTTCAAGATGCACCCATCCCCTCCAGTCAACCAGAGGGTTTTTAAGGACGACATTTCACTAAGTGACTCACCAAGGGCCGCCGCTACTGCAGGAGTCAAGGTAATTCCACTCAATGACATCTCCCGACCATGTGCTGTTAAATGCCCCACCGTAATCATTTCATCCGTTCCATTTGGACAGGCCATTGCTTCACACTGGACACTCAATGAGTTAAAAAACTTCATGAAACTTAAACTCTTCAAAAAGCCACACAAATTTTGTAGATCTCCTGAGTTGAAGGCAACGTCAAGATCCACGAAGTGTAAGTTGGGAAAGGATAGAAAACTTTTAGCCAGAGGAGCCAGGCAACCTCTCACCCTAAAGCCTCTGAAAGTAAGACTTTGCAAGGGCAAAGTTTCCTGAAAGCCGCCAAACAACGCGTCAACTTCCTTACCATTCAAACCCGTTTCTTCTCTTGTTACTAGAACGAGGTCATTGAGAGACGACATATTTGAAAGGGCCCGACCGATCGCTGAGGCTACTGCTGGAGTCAGGTTGATGTCAAGCAGTGTTAAATCGCGACGGTTGTCCAGGTTCAAACGAGACATCGCGCTGACCTTTTCATTACAGACTGTAGGATTCAATGCGTTACACGAAACCCTCAATGAACGCAAACCAGCAATACAACTCGAAAGAAGTAAATCAGTGTCAAGAAATCCACATAGATCAAAGTCACTGTTACTTATGTAAATGTCAAGCATTAGCGTTGTCGAATCGGGGATACAACAAAGGTGACCAGTGAGTGGTGCTAGGCAACTTCTAAGGTGGAAGCCACTGATTTCAAGCCACTCCGAAGGGAAAGTCTGGTTACTTCTACCGAAAAGAGAGTCTATTTCCACTTTTTCCATGAAAGTTCCATCTATTCCCCTCAGTGCAAGAAATTCTAATGATGATAATTCTGGGAGTAATTTTCCGAGCGCCGCAGCTGCTTCTGGAGTCAGGCTTACTCCATGAAGGAACAATGAATGGAGAGCGTCTAGAGAGAAACAAACGTCTGTGGGTAATTTTTCTGAACACAAATCTGAACACTTCAGGGATTTCCCCTCCACCCTCAAATTCTTTAATTTTGGAACATTTTTCATTCCGGAGAGCAAGTGGAAGACGTTATGTTCATCCACGGTCACCTCGTCTATGGTCAAATGCTGTAAATCAGGAAGGAAGCGTAAACATTTGCTGATTGCAGCAAGACAGCCAGTCACGAAGAAACATCTTAAAGAAAGCTCCACCAAAGGCAATGTTTTGTTAAGTCCACCGAACAGCGCCTCCATTTCCTTGGCCGAGAGAACGCTTCCATTAACTCCACAGAACTCTAACTTTACGAGGGAAGACAATCCAGGAAGTTGCCGGCCTAGCGCTGCTGCTGTTTTTGGAGTTAGAATTATTCCCTTTAAAATAAGCTCACGAAGAGGTAACTCTTTGCGACATTGGCCAAAAAGGGCCTCTATATTTTTGCCTTCCAAAGCGTTTCCATCCTTCGCGGTAAACACAAACTGTTGCAGGGTCGTAATTTCAGGAAGCAAACGACCGAGCGCCGAGGCCGCCCGAGGAGTCAGGGTGATGTCATACAGGCAAAGATAACCATGTTGCAGTTTCAAACGACCCACTGTGTTTACCTCTTCAGCAGAACCTACGTTGGTCACTGCTTCACACTGTACCCTTAGTAAGTGAGAAATGTACTTCAACCTCTCCAAAAAACTGGGGAAATAATTGTCATCAATAACAAAGTCAAAATTTAATTCTGCGGTTTGTATATGTGGAAAAAATTGAAAACTTTCAGCTAATGGAGCAAGACAGCCCTTCACGGTGAAGCCGCCAAAAGTAAGGAGTCGCAAAGGCAAAGGCTTATTAACTCCAGCAAACAGTGCCTCCACTTGCCCAGCTTCCAAAATACTTCCATCTTTTCTGGTTGATTGGAGTCGCCCTGAAGACATTCCAGAAAAGAGACCTCTGATATTTTCAGTTCCCCAAGTAAACGCGAGTTTCTCTAGGGATGGCATTTCAGGAATCAGTCGGCCGAGCACGACGGCTGCTGCTGGAGTCAGTTCTATTTCGCTCAGTACTAGGCTCTTCAATGCGTTGTGAATGAAGCCATCTTGTTTATAAACTTCCTCTTTGCATGACGCTAAGCATAAATCTGGGTAACGCTGTCGTTTGCCTTCAACAGTGAGTTCTTCCAAAGAGGGAATGAATTCAAGGCTTCTGAGTAACTGACACAAGTCCTGTCCATTCAAATTGATGTCGACAAGTCTTAAACACTGCATATTGGGAAAGAAGTGTAAAATTTTAATAAGTGGATAAAGAGAAACTGTCACGCTAAAATGACTGAGACAAAGTTGGCGCAAAGGCAATCTTTTGTTAAATCCGCCAAACAGTGTCTCCATTTCCTCATCTGACCAAACACTTCCATGTGTTCCTACAAGCCAGAGATTTTCCAAGGCCGACATTTCGGGGAGTAACCGACCTAGCGTTGCAGCGTCTGGTGGTGTAAGTACAAGTAACAGTCCCTCGAGGAGTTTGACACCGGTAGTGACACCGGTAACTAACGCCTCTACTTTTGCAGCAGAGCTGTTAGAGAAGCCCAGGTTGAGACGAGCGTTACTGCTAAATCTTGGGATTAAATTGCCAATTTTTCTCGCTGATGCGAGGGAAAGGTGAGAACCACAAGTATTGCGAATAGTTAAAGTACATTTGTTAGGACTTGGTACCGACTCCAAAATATCACAGATAGGATCGTGGAGGTACTCAAATGTAATGCTATTCAAATATTTGTACGTTGAATCAGTGGCTGGGAAGAGACTTATATGGCCAGGACAACACAGCTTAAAACTTGTCACGTTGAACTGAAACTGATCATTACAAAAATGTAGGATGGAAGTGAAATTGCAATGGCAATTCCGAGCTTCAACTTTTCTTTGGGAGAACTCCACCACTTTGCAAGTGTTAGATGTGTTAAGAGGAATTTGCGAATAAGGTTCACCTTCTTTTTGGAAGTGTACTAAGAACTCTTCCAGTGTGGAAGTCTCAGATGTTTTCAGAGGAATCTGCAAGCATTCCAGACACTTTGCCAACTCTTGCAGAATTTGGCACTTCGTCCAGTCGTTGTTTAGAGCGAGGAACACAACATCTGATTGTAAAGGCTTAGTCGAATGTTTCAACTTCATTTTTTTCAAAAGTTCAGTAAGTTGCCTGGTGACCAGGACAATTCTTCCAGTACAATCGAAAAAATGATTTAGTAGCTCAGGTTTTGATTCAACTTCTTGAAAGGATTTGCATACTAATTCACTCAAGACTGTGTGATTGTAAGTTACGCAAGATAGTGTTAAATTTCTCTCATTTGTAATATCTGCGAGTGTTTTTGATAAATCCAGTGTAGAATTTGCGATTCTAACAGATGCCAGGTGTTGAAAAACCTTCACTGCTCCAACGTCAGACAGACCGCAAATGAACTGAAATACATTCTCCAGCGATCGACAATCTTTCAATGTACGAGCTTTGTCTCTGATTTCACCGAGATCTCCCTCGGGAACACATTTGTAGGTAATATACCACGCTGCTAAGAACTCTTGGATGCTCTTGTGAATAAACGATACCATCCCTGCGGGTCGAAGACTTTCTGAGAACTCAGTAACTTGAAGTAAACCAATGAAGACGCTTTCTTCACAAAGGATGGATACGGAAAGTTGATCAAATTCGAAAACGTGATCGTCCTTTAAAAGACATTCTAGAGCCACCTTTCCGATTTCAACCAAAATGTCCTTGTACTTGTCTAACTTGTGAAAGCGAGCGGGGAAACCCTTTCTTTGACTGTGATCCAAAACGTACTGCACGATTCCATAATACAACTTCGTTTTGGTTTCTGGAAAGCTATTCGACTTTCCTTTTTTCCACAACGTGCAAAAAAAAAGAAGTAGTAGTGGGACTCGCGCTAGGCCAAACAGCTCTTCATCACATAGGTGCTGAACTAGCTCCCGTGCTTCTGTTTCGCCGCCAAGCATTTTGCACATAAAGGTCATTCTCTCTTCAAAACTAAAACCGGTGATCTCAGCGTGAACGACTTTGAACTCACCAAGTAGATCGTCAGCTTTGGAAGTTCGGGTTGTTATCAACACACAACAGTTTCTCAGTTTCTTGCCTCTGAATATTTCGTAAATTTCAGAGTTCATTCCACAGCGATATTCGTCGTAGCCATCAAACACAAGCAAGACTTCCTCTTGATTGTTGGTGATATAATCTAGAAGCTGTTCTGCCATCGCTGTGTCTTCCTCTGGAAAAATATTACAGTGACAAATGACATCCCGAAGACCTGAGTATTTGGATACCTCTTTCAGATTAATGACGAGAACGAGCTCAAATCTCTTCAGTGCGTTTGTTCCATTTACACTCACTTTGATGACCTCTTCCTTTGGCGGTTCCTTTGACGCACTTTCTTCAGCTTCACAACTGGTCCCCGCATCTTGAGATTGTTTGTCAATCGTTCTTTCGTCCACAAGTTCAGCCCAGTCCAAACCCATTTTCTTCACAAACGTTGTCTTTCCTATACCTGTCTCCCCTTGCACAAGTATCCTATTGGATACATATCCTTTCTCGTTTTCATCGAATACTTCAGTGTAGTGATTCAGTTCAGGCTTTGATAACCCTTCTGGTGTTTGCTCCTGTTTCACCCACGTCAGTCGAGTATAAATCTGCTGCATGTCCACGGGACATTTTCTAGACCAGACGGAGGTGGGTACCGTGGCGGTTCTCCTGTAATGTTCTGCGAGTTTACAGCGACAGGTTTCCACATCAAAACGTCCCACAGAACGGCACTCTGGTAACAAAAACAAAAGACAATCTGGGTTATCACATTTGCATTAACCAGACGTTTGGACCCGGCAGTGATTCACTTTCAGATACGCAAACACCTTTTCAATTTAATTTATTTAAGTAAAATCGCTCTGAAAAACTGTAATTTCATTTTCATCTATTCCGGAGCAGTGTTAATTTGAAAACATATGTGTGTCAAAATTCCGTTTCCAAATAAAATTGAAATAAAAAGTTCGACCAGGTCATGGTAGTTATCAATAATGAAGAATAGAAGCTTATTCTTACAAGCAACTTTAACTAACCCACGACATTCGGCTTCATTCTTTGATCTCCCACAACCAGTTCCAGTTCTTTGACTTTGTCACAAAGACCTCCCTGCCGTTGTTCCACTTTCATAAGTTCTTCTCCCAGTTGTTCCACTTTCTCATCTGTCTCGGCCAGACCTTCCTGCAGTTGTTCCACTTTCACATCTGTCTTGGCCAGACCTCCCTGCAGTTGTTCCACTTTCATAAGTTCTTCTCCCAGTTGTTCCACTTTCACATCTGTCTTGGCCAGACCTTCCTGCAGTTGTTCCACTTTCATAAGTCCTTCTCCCAGTTGTTCCACTTTCCCATCTGTCTCTGCTAGACCTTCCTGCAGTTGTTCCACTTTCTCATCTGTCTCGGCCAGACCTCCCTGCAGTTGTTTCACTTTGACATCTGACTCTGCGAGCCGTGTTTCTGCTTGTTGTAAGCGCATACGAATTTCCTCCTCAAAGGCTTTCTCAGCAGCATAAAGTTTTTCTAGAATTTCTTTGACCTCTTTGATTTGCTGTTCTCTCCATTTCTTTATTTCTCCTATCTGTTCCTCGTGTTCTCGCAAGTTAACTTGCGTTGCAGCGTGTTCAACACGGAGATGGGAAATGCTATCTTGCACTTCGAGTAGTTCTGTTCTCTGCTGATCCACTAATTCTTGTAAGGCTGATAGTTCTGCCTGAGTTTTCACGAAGTTTGCCCTGAGATCTTTAACGTCCTGCTGAACCAGAGAAAGAAGCTGTTGATCGACAGCATGACCCATAGACAGCTGGCAACCTACAAACAACAAAAAACAAAAAAGAAGTTTGATACCAGTGGTTCTGTGGAATGTCATGAAACGCTACCCCTTCTTCTTTAAAGGGGACATTGCATACCAACCCAAAGAACAGCTACGATGAGGGGTACTTCGATTATGAACGATAAATAGGTTGTCAAAACTACTCCAAACTTAAAGTATAGGCATGGGACGCAAAATGGTCCTTTCACATCAAGCTCCAATTTGATAGCCAGACAACTAAAATAAATACAATCAGTTGTTGAAGTTAAAATGCATGTTTAAGTATGTTCCCACTTGACAGCAACAAATGTCTCTATACCTTTGGTTTGCCAATCTGAAAGTTCATCTAAAACGGTCTTCTCCTTTCCACCAGTCAATCCCAGACTTCTCACCAATGTCTCCAGCTTGACGAAACAATCTTTAAAAAAAGCTTCAGTCCAGTCACTGAAATTGCAATGGCCCCATTTGTTCCTGACATTGTTCCTGACATCATCTGCCGAGGACTGAATGAGAATAAATGGATTTGGAGGGGAAAAGATGGGTGTAGGATTACTAAACCCTAACAGGCGAAGTATGGCACTTATGTCCAGTGACTCATCAAAGGCTGAAAACTGTGCAAGATACTCTGGCAAATACAGCTTGGCCAGGTCAACTGGATCATTTACCCTATGATTGTATAGGGATTTGCCATGTAAATGAATATTTTTATTAATATTCTGAAACTTCAGTGTTCTAAGGTTGGGATGAGCTTTGACCTGATGGTAAGTCAGAGTTGTTAGGGTACAGGGTGGGGCCAGGCGGCTGCAGTGGGTGTCCAGGTTTGTGTAATGAGTGTCCATTCCTTGTTTAATGTAATCTCGTAAGACTGGAGCTGCCACTTTGTTCATAACAATTCCAACCACGAGCCATCTCCTTTCTTCAATTGTCATCACCATCTTCAGTTTGAACCCTTGGGTTATCAGTATGCAGAATTCATATGTATGGCACAAATTTGACAGAGGGTCTGCAAAAAAATAAATACTGAACATCAATTATTACGTGGGTCAGAGTATGTAGCTTCTTGAAATTGCTAATTTTAAGAACATCTGCAGTACACATTTTGCAGGACATGAAGCATTAATATGCTCCAAAGCAAGACTTACCATATCAAAACAATCATTTTTAACAAAACTGAAGCCAGAAAGCAGTCATCATTTGGCTGGCTGATTTCAAACAACTGTATATCTGTGGTCAGAAACAACTCAAATTAATATTTTGAGGCATAAATCAGAGAACCAATACCTGGATTAATGTATGCACCAAACGCAGCTATCAACAATGCCTTCAATGGTTGTTATATGCCAATACATGTTTAGTTCCATGATTATAACCTTTCTTTCAATTTTAAGATTCAATACTTGCCCCATCCCCCCAAACTGGCAAAAACCACTTAGACATTTTAACTTTTCCTACCCCTCCCTCCCGGGAAAACTTGTGATCAAATGCCCCACCCGATTTTTTTGTTAGAGGCAAAATCTGTGAAAATCTGTGACTGTGACTTTCCACACATAACCCAAGCTTAAAACCTAGACATAGAAGACCTTTTCTGTTCTGAGCCATCCGCTAAAGGAAGTGAACTATTTACCATTTAACACCTTCCAGGGCTCAACACTAACTTTTAAACTTACTAGCCAAGTGGCTAGTGACAACTTAGATGTTACTAGCCAAATTTTTTTTTACTAGCCAAGCTTTCATGTTTGCTAGGTCCAATAACAGCAGAATTACTAGCAAGAATTGAAAGCACAATGCAAATAACACCCTTTCATACACAATATTGGTACCAGTAATTACACTTTACCTAAACCACTTCAAAAGGCAAATCAACTATTTTGTGAAATTCAACACGGTTTTAAAGATGTTTTGTTACCAGAGAGAAATCTGTTAGGCTACAATAAAGGTTCAGAGATTCGATTGTCCAGATGCCACCTTTAAACCAGTTCCAATAGAATAACAACAACAGTATTAAATATGAGATGTCACATGATTAATCTAGTTGATACTGATATTCCATTGTCCATATGGCAAGAAATTAGTGATGAAATTTGTCCATGAAAGTTGGCCGCTTGGCCCTCTCGCCAGAGTCAAGCCATCTTGTAAAAGCTAAAGAAAAGTGATACTCTGATGGGTTTGGTCCATTAAGAGAGAATCTCATAAGGACTTCAACAGTCCCAACATCAAGGGTTGACCTGAAGTCACACAACTCTCTTCAGACTGGAGTTGCCTCTTTCACAACAAGCAATTTGGATGGGTATAACAAGGCAGACCTTAATGACCAGCAATAAGTTGGGGTACTGGCCTCGCATCTGAAACTTGCTCTTCCAGAAGTTGTTGTTGTTGTTGTAGTAAAGCTCTCCTCTCGCTCTCTGCAAATGAACTTTGAGCTCCATCCATTCATCAAGGCAGGACCGCAAGTTGAAGAGGTCTTGGTTTAGCAGGGCTTCAAAGTGCTCTGACAGAACCTGAATAGCATCCTCGCCATAAATAAGCATCTGTTGTCGGTTGTTTATTGGCCACGCGTGGCAGTCTGTTAAAGTTGCTGCTTCACGAAGAATAGGATCATGGCCCAAACCATGAAATCTATCTCCTAGAAAAGTGCTGGCTCGTGTTTTGTTCAAGTAATTTCGTAACAAAACGAAAATGCTTTCTTGTCGGTCAAATATTTCTTTCAACATAATAACATGTTCAGCCACCCGTTTACGTACTACAGAACTAAAAGTAATCGGACATAAATTTGCATACGTGCCCCGTAACATGATACGCCGAGAATGAAATTCCGGGAAAAGTAGTTGAGTTTGTCTTCCTTGAGAAGAGAAAGATTATTTCGGTCAATTTCAGTTAATTTGTTTACTAGCCAAACTGGCTAGTGGAAATCGATAACCAGTAGCCAAAACTGAATTTCTACTAGTCTGTGGCTAGTGGGCTACAGATAGTGTCGAGTTCTCCCTTCATATTCAGGGGTTTCAATAGTAGCCGGGTGGCGGGTAGATCTACCCGCTTGTACGGGCCAATTACCCGCTTGGAGCCTTCACACGAACGTCAAGTAAGGCCAGAAAATTTCATCTCAGCTTCGAATTCTTGCCAAAAAGTTTCGCAAAATAGGTTTTATTTTATAGGCAAACAAAAGGAAATGAAAAATGAAAGACATTCTGGCATCTTCCAAGCCTTCTGGCCCGTGAAAGTCGAAGCAGAGTCTGCAAAACATGTAATAGACACCGCTTCGGAACCTACGTCAAAAAAAATGAGCAAGCACTCAGCTGAAATCGACGGGAACTGGGACAGAGTGTGAATACAAATGGCGGCCAAAAGGCAATCGTTGTTTGCACATTTCACGCCAGTGTCAAAACAAAAGAGGTAAAAAAGGCTCGGCTCTTGAAAGTCTTGAAAATCAAGTCGTAAATTAAGTGGCTTCAGACTGATATAAGTGATATAAGACAGTTATGCTGATGATACACAACTTTTTACTCGTGGCCGAGATCCTGTCACGATTCAACATTCAATGCAGACTGATCTTCAATCTGCCTCTGAGTGGTTTCAGTCTAATGGCATGAGTCTTAACGTCGACAAATGTCTCTCGATGTGGGTTGGATCCAATAGGGAAGATCTTCCATTACAACTTGATAGCAGGAACCTGCAGTTATGTTCCTCCATGAAACTCCTGGGTCTAACGATTTGATAATGTACTTAATTTTCATGAGCATGTATTGGAATTAGTTTGTAAAGTCAGTAATCAACTCCAAGTGCTTAAACGACATAAACGTCTAATACCAACTGGTGCTAAGAAACGTCTCTATGCAGCATTTATTTTATCACATCTTAATTATTGTTCTATCATCTGGAATCATTGCGGCAAAAAGAATTCTGATAAACTGGAAAAAATTAATGAGAGATGTCTCCGTTTTGTCTTTAATGACTTTCACAACACTTATGATAGATTATTGGATTACATTAATCAGCCCTGTTTACAAGACCGCAGAATACATGATATGTTGACTCTTACTTATCAAGCCCTTAATGGTAACACCCCTGCATATATTAAGAATCTACTCAATGAAAGAGATATTTCTTAAAACCTACGTGGCCAACGTCTTTTCAATGTCCCCAGGGTTAATACTACAAACTATGGCTTACATTCTTTCCGTTATCAGCCTGTAAACTCTTAGTCTCCCTCGCAGCCGTCTTTTTTTTTTGGATGTCACGCAACGCTCCCCCAAAAGAACGGCTGCTGACAACCGAACTGCATTCATTTCTCATTGTCCTTGCGGTTTGGTCGCGGTCTATTGAACAGACCAATCACATACCAGAAAATCTGAATGACGTAAGGTTTCACGCGAAAATGTGAATGTGGCAGATGATCTAGCTATCATGTCGGGAGAAACACTGAAGAAATTTGTCGATGAGAGCTCGAAATGTTTCACATGTTCATCGTTGTGCCCTGGTAAAGATAGAGTATATATTTTTGGGAAAACTTCTCACAATTTCGTTGAAATTATAGAATCTACGCTTAACATAGACGTCAACTGCTACGCCACCGACACGAACGCTAGATTGTTTGAGCGGTTGTTAAAGTTTCAGCGAGCAACTGAGAAAGTAGAAGAAGCTAAAAACTGAACTGAAACTCTTTATTCGCACTATTTCAAGAGGTTACTACAGATTATAAAAGTCAGAATATATAAGAAACAGTAAATTACATCAATAATCAAAAGGAAATACAAGACGCCTTTCAATCTAGGCCAAGGGCTAAACGCTTGCTTCGACCTACAGATGGAGATCAGGAGGAAAAAAGCGCGTGCTTGCCGTCAACAAACCGGGCGAAGCTTCGAGAACACTGCAATTTAGGTCGGCCAACGTCTCCTACACTACTTGTACTTCTTCATTTGCCAGTCCGCTGCTAGCTGGAGCGAACCCGATTAGTTATGTTCGTGGCTTCTTATCACCGGTACAGGAAATCGGCCCGAATTATCGAGTGTTTCCGCACGTTGGTACAACGCAACAACAATAACAATAATATGACCACTTTCATCGGTAACATGGTCAAACACGAGCGGGAGTGCTTGATATATTAACGATTTCCCGGATCCTGTAGGCAACTTAACAAAAACATCTTCTTTCTCGACTAAAACTTTTTTAATTGCAAGCTTCTGGTGAGCTTTAAGCTCGAAAATTTTGAACTTTGACGACGCTTTGCGAAAAGCTCCTTCAAGCACCGCCATTTGTCTTGTGTTTTCCACATGAGGATCGCGATAGAAAACGATATCTGATTGGACGAGTCTCAAAAGGTGAGTCTGGCGCGAAAAGGTTCCTGAAAATGGAACCCGAGCTGTGATTGGCCAATTCGGACAAAGGAATGTAGTTTGGTTGTCAGCAGCCGTTCTTTTGGGGGAGCGTTGCGTGACATCCACAAAAAAACGGTTGCGAGGGAGACTAGTAAACTCTGGAACTCGTTACCAAACTCACTTAGAACCGCTCCTACGACGAAAGCATTTAAACTAGCGACTAATTATAAAATATAACCATGTTTCTCTATGAAATAGATTAATTTTTTTTTTTGATTTAAGGATTAACCCTGAGCTAAAACTACATTAAACTTAGACAATTTTAAAGATACCAGTTGTGAAAGTGTTAAGTGTTAAAAGTAGCACCTCAATAGAAACAGTTGACCGTGACTACTTTATTGTCACATAATTCTCTTCAAATTTGTTTAAATTAGTTGACTTGGGAGCAAAAACATGAAACAACAAAGCAACAAAAAAAGACTTGAATGCATCTGTGCGAGTCTAAAACTTCAAACTTTTCCGGGGGAGCATGCCTCCGGACCCCCCTAAAAGGCTTTCGGGCCTTCACTAAATGTACCCCCCTGTTACTCTTAAGTACCTGCTTGTGCAAAAACTTATTGATATTTAAACAATAGAGTGTTTCTGTCTAGGAACTATCAACTCATAGTTGCCCAGCGGATATTTGATGTTCTTAAAACAAATATTTGCCCGAGAGGCAAAGCGTTGAGGGCAAATAAGTTAGTTTTAAGAACATCAAATTTCCAAGGGACAACTATCAGACCGATAGTTCCGAGACATAAACACTCTATTGTCTTTATTGTTCACCACTAAATTTTCTTCCGCGCGCCAGTTTAAAAACAATCAAAACCCAATGAATGCAGATCAATGAAATATTCATTCATGCATACAGCCTGTCAAAAATGTCAATAATTTGCAACCGTATATTACCTGTTAGAGTTGATAAGTCACTGTTTTTCCAATCTACCTAACTTCACGGCCATCAAACCATTCAAAATTTTTCACGGATGAGTACTATCCATCCAGGTATTTTCTGCGGACAGGCACTATCCATCAAGGTATTTTCCACAAACGGGCACTATCCGTCCGGGTATTTTCTGCGGATGGGCACTATCCATCCGGGTATTTTCCGCATACTGGCACTATGAGCTGATAGTGTCTCTCCACAGATGAACACTACCATGTCACATGATCAATTTAAACCAATAAGAATCGGAGAAAATTTAGTGGTGAACTATAATTAAAGATAGGACACTTGTACTTAGCAGGAAAGACTTGACAATCCCAGTTCAAATTCCCTACCCCCCAGCCAGGCAAGGTTCAAATTTCTTACCCTTTAGATCAGTTGTCAGGTATTGTAAACAATTTAAGGTAGCAAAGGGACTTCAGTTGGACTCAGTGACATTTAATACCTGATCCTACCATTCAAATTTATCCATGCGCATATGTATGTAAATAAGCATTAAAGGATACAAGATATTTTCAGTGACAAAGTTTTTCAAAAATTACATTATCTTTAGTATTTTAGTTCTATCTATAGAAATTTGCTACTTTAGTAAATAAATACAATAATTCTGGCAAGAGTTTGTGAAAAAATAAAATTTGCATCAAAGTTAACAAATTGTCTAAGAAAACTTTGGATGTGCTTTTCTCTGCTTTGATTTTCAAACCAATTGTGGTCAAACATTTTCAAATTTGAGGCTCGCAAAATTGAACTAATTCTCTTGAAAATTGGCACAGAATAAGATCAATAGCAGAAGAGAAAAATTACCATGAAGCTGATTTTGTGGCAAGATTTGCAAAATGTTTTTGAGATATGATGAAGAGTGCAAAGGTCAGCAATATAACCAATGCTTACTTGAACATGAAATGCTTACAACTTTTGAAAGATGTCAGTCACCAATCAGAAGCATAGTTTCTTAGTTCAATGTGAGCGGATTGTCTCCTTAAACACCAATTGCCAGAACAACAAAATGCCAGAGCATATAACTAGATTAAAGATATATTAGCAGTTTTTTCTTTCTCCTCAATTACCATCTCTGCATTTCAGAAATAAAAATAAATTCAAGTAAAATATCAAATTCTGTAGTTTATAGTTTTAAAATGATATACAGTTTTAACTCAAAGCACTCACTTAAATAGCAATTTTCTGAGACCTACTCATGAATGTATCTTGTAACCTTAAAGTGCACCTAAACCCAAAAATTTTTTTCGCTTAACAAAATAAGCGTATTTTTTGAAGTATTTCTGTGCAAAAATTCTTTTATTTGCTCAAATCTTCAATTTTCTCTGCCCAGTCAAAATACAGAAAATCGGCCGCCATCTTGCCCCACGACCGAGTTTAAAGAGGAATGGCTCTAGCGGGTAATGTGACGTCAAATCGAGAACACGAAAGTCTGCATTTCACACATTTTCACTTGTTTGGGAAGGTTGTAGTCGATATTGTCCGAAAATATGCCGACTAAGTGTGTTGTAGAAGGATGTAGCAACGTGCGAAATTTGCAAGAGGGTATCGCGCTTCATACATTCCTCATACAACACACCTAGTCGGCATATTTCGGACAATATCGACGACAACCTTCCCAAACAAGTGAAAATGTGTGAAATGCAGACTTTCGTGTTCTCGATTTGACGTCACATTACCCGCTAGAGCCATTCCTCTTTAAACTCGGTCGTGGGGCAAGATGGCGGCCGATTTTCCGTATTTTGACTGGGCACAGGAAATTAAAGATTTGAGCAAATTAAGAAATTTTTGCAGAGAAATACTCCAAAAAATAAGCTTACTTCGTTAAGCGAAATTAAATTTTTGGGTATAGGTGCACTTTAAGTTAAAATAGGTAAAGTGGCTATCAGTAATTATTTGGCAGTTTTTTGTTTTCCAATTTGCAAGCTGTCTCTGCCACGGAAAACAATCAATTTCATCAAGTTGGTCAGGATTCCTAAAAATTCAGAAAATCAGGCAACCATGCCTCCGAATAAGACGAAATATGAAAGAAAGAGTTCACATTTGATGTTTGTATTCCCATTGTAGATTATCTACAATGGGAATACAAACATACAAGCTGAAGAGATCAGTTGGAGGTTCAGCTGTACCACGCTAAAGATTGATTAGTGTGTGTACTCAGCAACACCTTTTACAATACAGTGAGCGCAGTTTGTTTGGCAAAGTCTGTTAAGTTCTTTTAACGAACAAAATTCAATTTTGTAAAGAATGTCTGCATTCGAAATTTGACCGAATATTTGCGCGATTTTGTTCGATACAGATCGGATTTGCCGGAAATCAGGGCTAGCATTATTTAAATAGGTTGAGCACTAGACTTCTTATTTCGTTCACCAACAACTATTTCGCTGAAGATCAAAAGGCTTTTGCGGAAAATTCAATACAGACAATGCGTACCTTCAAAACAGATAACAGAAGGCTGAAGAGTTATTCCGTGTAGCTATGTTCGTTTTCTTCATCTGATCGGTACTCACAGAACACTGATGAAGGCTTAGATCTAGAGAAAAATCTTGTAGATGCAGATCCTGTACATCAACAAGCCAGGCAGCTTCAGAAATTAAGAAAAATATTGAGTTTAAGCATAGTTAACTATGGTTTAAGTGAATATTTCCTCCCACCCTGACACCAACTTTTGTATCAGTCAGCATAAAATTATCTTTAATCCCGTTCCAGTCTAGAGCGGTTTACATTGAGGGCCTGGTTTCCCCACCCGTTCCTGTCACGCAACACATTCTAAAAGTTTACTGCAAGAAACTGCATGGAGGCCTACCCAATCCCATCGACCGCTTTTGGCCTTAATTTACCGACCAAGCTCAAAAGTATACTCGTGCTTATTATATCAGCGCCAATTTGTAAGAGAATCATGTTACTGCAATGCCTTTTATGCTATTTTCACACACCACTCTCAACCTCTCCACAGTCCTCTTCAGTGTGAGATGATGGAAATGGCCACGAAAGGAAAAATCCGTTTTAAATGGCCCACATCTCAACTGAGTTTTCAGAATTTTTTTAATCTCAAGACAAACCATTTGGATCATGCATGTTCAACAGTTGACATCAACCATGAAAAACCACAAACTACTATATACTCCTTTATCGGTCCAAGCCAAAAGACCATCACGCAAGGTAAAGGAAACGTAAGGTTGCCATGCACATGATCACATGGCTACGATATTACTCTGCACGGGATATACTACATTTATGTTGCACCACCACCGCACAAATTAAACCAAGCAGAAAATATTTTTTTCATGCTATGCAAACGTTTATTCTGGGATTGAAAATACTACAAAATATGTTACAAACATCAAATTTGACATAAAGCTGCAGATAAAACAATGAAGTCCCATCAAAGTCTTGAAACCAGTGGTCCTCTGTTGCCAGGAAATCATATATTTACTGCAGTACAGACTGCCCAAACGGCTCAGGGCCCTTGGCATCTTAATCTTCATCTTCTGAACTGGATTCCTCTTCAAGTGATTCCTGCAAGAAAACATAACCAGGCCATGAACAAAGAGCAGAAATTGAGGACAACCTTGAAATCCAGGAGAACTTTCCATCCTGTATTTTGTGTCGTATGTCTTATTCCTTCCCTTAAAATTAACAACTGACCAACCTTTGCGTATTTTTCAGCCGCTTGTGCTATATCTTTTGGTACCCACTCGTGTTTGCCATTGGTAACTGAAAGAAAAAAGACATAAATAGACGTGGTGCAGTTTTCACTAGGTGTCGACAGTAATCCGGGAGTTTATCGACAGTTCTTCCTGAACCTTGCTCTGTGATTAGTCTAAACAACTTGTCATCTCATTGATTCCTCTTGAAATTTACCTTAATTCTCATTGGCTGATGTAATACCTTTGCTTTACAGGAAACCGTGCTAAGTTACACCGTTAGACTTACGGCCCTGTCACTTTCAGTGACTTTTCTACCAATTTGTCCTAGTGCCACAAGAACTCAAGTCAAACTTAATGTGTGTTCGCACCTAACCAGTACCTGAGAGGTCCCGTCGGTTTTCCTTTTCTTGCTGGATTTACTGTGGGACTAATTTCTCAAACATATTAAGTTGAAAGTGCATGGTGCTAGCTGTTATTCAATGAGCTATGGGAATGGCAACTATGAAATCATAAAGGGTACCTTCTCCTATCCAGCTTAACTCCAGTTCAAAGTTTTTGTCCTTAACTTCATCATGTACAACATATATTCTGTTGATAGTGCATATGTGATGAGTTGAATCATAGTAAGAATGAAAAAATTGTACACTTGGAGCATTCCCTTCTTGTTCTACTCTTTAAGTGTTGTAGGAAACAAAAACTTTCTTTGTTTGACGACTGGCCGGAAATTAGATCATCTCTTGGGCAAGTGACCATTTCAAAGCAGAAATACAGTGTTGCGTGTAGTGGGAAACAAAAACTTTCTTTTTTAAAAATGGAGGATGTTGTTAAAATTTCCAAACATTCATTTTCCAAGTGAATAATAATTGTGTAAAATGTAGTTCAATAAATTTTATATCTGTATATATATATATATGTATTTCATATGTTTGTTGTTTAAAAACTTTCTTTGTTTGACAACCGGGTGGAAATTTGATCATCTTAAGCAAGTGACCATTTCAAAGTGAAAAGACAATGCTGTATGTAATGGAGAGGAGGGCTTAGGTATACTGGTTGAGATGGGGGTGGGGTATGGACTTATTTCAACTACTTTTTTCAACCAAGAGTTCTGCAAATATTCAAGACAAGCAATTATATAAAGAATGTATTCGAGGAGGCACAATACACTCACAAGAATGAACAAAAACTGAGCACAATTTGAAGGTCAAAAATTCCACATGGAAAACTGAAGCATTTTCAAACCTAGATACTGGTAGATAAAATTCAATTCAATTTCCAACCTACATTTTGGCAACTTCTTTCACTAGTTCTTCACATGTCATATCTTTCATCTGTTAACAAAGACAAAATTGGTAAATTCCACACATAAATGTATTACTGTTCAAAAACAGAGGGAAAAAACTCATAATTAAGCATTTAGAAGAGGATAATAATAAAATGAAATAAAATAGTGAAAGTACACAAGGGTTACACAAACAATACAGAGGATTAGTGGAAGAAAAAATTGAAAAAGATTAGAGTGGAATGGAATTGAAGTTTGAAACGATATTCAGTTCAGCCACAAAATTGTTAAAAGTTTAAATAAATTACAGGTAGGACCAGACAATATCTGTGTTAAACTGACCTTGAGTTTTTCTATTTCCGTTTTTGCAGCTTGCTTTGCTTTCCCAACAGCACAACCATGGAACCCCTAAAAAGCAAGAGAAAAAAAAAAAGAGAGAGAAACAGAAGTTCACATGTCATGTCATGTGATTTGTTTTCATGTTTATGCTATATGTGTAATAAAATAAAGAAATTTTCAACAAAGCTACAGAGCAGTTGAAATATAAACAGATATAAAATTTATTGAACTACATTTTACACAATTATTATTCACTTGGATAATGAATGTTTGGAAATTTTAACAACATCCTCCATTTTTAAAAACAAAGGAGACATCCCTCACCCATGATACCCCTGAGGGGTCTATCATAAAGAGCTCAGGTCCATCAGCTCCATGTGAACTTAACAGGACACTGCAAGAGAAAATAAAAGTGCCGTACATTCACAGTATGTCAGTGCACCAACAGAAAAGCAGATTGTTCTATGTACAGGTGCAAAAATCTTTATAAGAAAATCCCAAGAGGTTTTTTGCTTTGAGGGATCCTGGAATTTATCAGAGATCTGGGAGGAAACTGCCCCAGCTGTATGTATGACCTTCTTAAATGCAATGCAGATTTACACACATGCAGTGGGTGGTACAGTGCCTTAAACCTCATCTGCCCCAGATATAATCGTGTATCTGAGGGAGGGAGAACTTTTAGCGTGTCCGCAACCAGGCTCTAGAACTCTCGGCCCGTTAACCTTAAGAAAGTAACATGTGTAACCTCATCTAGAAAGGCTATTTATAGACATTTTTTTAACCAGATCCAATGATGTTGATCATTTCAGCGTAACTGAAACTGAATTTTATTCATAGTTTTATGCTAATCCAACATTTCATAACCTTCCTCTCACTCAACCTATCCCAGCTGTATTCTTATTGTAATTATAGTTTGTAGATATTCATTGTAAGAATATTTTTATAAATGTAATATAGTTTTTACTATTGTTAGTCCGGTACATACACTTTACTTCCTTTTCTTTACAACATGTATTTTGTTACTTAACTTTGTTTTACAAATTTAGTTTGAGGGCCACTAGTTACTCAGTTGAAGTAGTGTCCCGTGTTACCCTCGTGAAATAAAGTTGATTGATTGATTGATTTAGATTCAACACAGGATATGGAAATATTTGAAGACAAGCACTGGGAAGTATGACAGAAGAAGGCAGAGGTCTGGCAAGCCCTGACAAAAAAGCTGGGAGGAAAATAAGGCTGCCATCATAAAAAGTATAAAAGAGGCAATTTGAAAAGTTTACAAACTTTGAAATGTGATTGTGTGATTTCTTGGTGCAAATGTAGATGGTTACATACAAAGGACAAACCATGACTATTACAATCCATGTGGCCACTCACCTACAACCAAATGGTCTAACAGCACTGTACAATGTGTGAGCATGAATGTATCCTGACACTCTATCAACAAGATACTAAAAAAGAAAAACATACAACATGTCAATAACAACAAAATTAACATTGAGATGAATCAGGGTATCCAAAGTTTACCATGCACAAAGCAATGACTTCTCATTTATTACAATGTTGTTAATAGTATGTGAAAACAGCGACATAAAGATGATTTTGATCACTGATGTGAAAATATAAACAATAAAATAAAAAGGAAAATGTAGAGAATAAAAATGTACTACATGTAAGTGGTGCAGGCCAATTTAATCATTAAAGCAATATTTATACTCTTGTCTAGGAACCTGCAAAACTTACACAATACATGTACCCATATATAACACCACAATACAGTACCCATATATAACACCACAATACAGTACCCATATATAACACCACAATACAGTACCCATATATAACACCACAATACAGTACCCATATATGACACCACAATACAGTACCCATATGTAACACCACAATACAGTACCCATATGTAACACCACAATACAGTACCCATATGTAACACCACAATACAGTACCCATATGTAACACCACAATACAGTACCCATATGTAACACCACAATACAGTACCCATATGTAACACCACAATACAGTACCCATATGTAACACCACAATACAGTACCCATATGTAACACCACAATACAGTACCCATATGTAACACCACAATACAGTACCCATATATAACACCACAATACAGTACCTATATATAACACCACAATACAGTACCCATATATAACACCACAATACAGTACCCATATATAACACCACAATACAGTACCCATATATAACACCACAATACAGTACCCATATATAACACCACAATACAGTACCCATATATAACACCACAATACAGTACCCATATATATAACACCACAATACAGTACCCATATATATAACACCACAATACAGTACCCATATATAGCACCACAATACAGTACCCACATAGAACACTACAATACAGTACCCATATATAACAGAAGCCAGAAACTATAACATGAGGAGTGTCACATCTGCCACTTGAACAAATACTGTATAACTTGTTTAAATAACTTCAAAGGTAAAATTGGTTTGAATGCAATGATTTCATAGCCTTACTTTCAAGGGTATTGGAGATCCATAGGTTGACCTGTAATTGGCAGCTTCTTCTCTGGCAACACTGACAATCTTAAAATTAACAACAGAAATGTTAAATGACAACCAAAAACAAAAATATACATTGTCAACATCACCAAGTAATGGGATGTACAAAATCCATTTAAAGGTTTATCCCACCACCAACCCACTCCTGTCATATAATGTGACCTTCTGGAAAATTCACATGACTTCCAAAAATTTCACAAATCTATTTGAAGACCAGAAAATAGTGAGTTCAACATTTATAAAGTTAATTTGTATACAATATATATGTACATACCTGTCTCGCATCAGCTATCAATCCTGCGACAGCCTATGGTGCAAAAACAAACATGGATATCAAATACGCTAAGCTTTAAAGCTGTATGTACAAAATCCAGATGCAAGCTCAATGCTTTCACTAAGTTTTGAAATAGGTAGCTACCTTGTTACAGCACCCGCCGGAGTACGACTTTAGCGTGGTGACCGCGACTTGAGCACAGTGAAGTTTACCCGGTGGCTCACAACAGAATATCTGCCGGAGCTCCAGCAGGTGCTGGGTCTTATTGAAAGCACTGAAGCTTTCCACTAAACTTGAACTACTGATAAACTGAGTCACAATACTCATGTAACTCCATTTGCATGTTCAATTCATTTTAATTTAAGTTTAAAGTGCACCTACACTCAAAAAATTTTTTTCGCTTAACGAAGTAAGCTTATTTTTTTGAGTATTTCTGCGCAAAAATTTTTTTATTTGCTCAAATCTTCAATTTTCTATGCCCAGTCAAAATACGGAAAATCGGCCGCCATCTTGCCCCACGACCGAGTTTAAAGAAGAATGGCTCTAGCGGGTAATGTGACGTCAAATCGAGAACACGAAAGTCTGCATCTCACACATTTTCACTTGTTTGGGAAGATTGTCGTCGATATCGTCCGAAATATGCCGACTAGGTGTGTTGTATGAAGATTGTATGGAGCGCGATACCCTCTTGCAAATTTCGCACGTTGCTACATCCTTCTACAACACACTTAGTCGGCATATTTTCGGACAATTATCGACTACAACCTTCCCAAACAAGTGAAAATGTGTGAAAAGCAGACTTTCGTGTTCTCGATTTGACGTCACATTACCCACTAGAGCCATTCCTCTTTAAACTCGGTCGTGGGGCAAGATGGCGGCCGATTTTCCGTATTTTGACTGGGCATAGAAAATTGAAGATTTGAGCAAATAAAAAAATTTTTGCGCAGAAATACTCAAAAAAATAAGCTTACTTCGTTAAGCGAAAAAAATTTTTTGAGTGTAGGTGCACTTTAAACTTAAATTAAAATGAATTGAACATGCAAATGGAGTTACATGAGTATTGTGACTCAGTTTATCAGTAGTTCAAGTTTAGTGGAAAGCTTCAGTGCTTTCAATAAGACCCAGCACCTGCTGGAGCTCCGGCAGATATTCTGTTGTGAGCCACCGGGTAAACTTCACTGTGCTCAAGTCGCGGTCACCACGCT